CAGTTAAAGACACGTTAAAAGATCTTGCCTGGGAAGTATTAATCCACAGCCATATTCACCAGACCTTGCTCCTTCAGATTGCCACTTGTTCCAATCGATGGCACACGCACTTTCTGAGCAGCACTTCAAAACATACGAAGAAGTGGAAAATTGGGTCTCTGAATGGTTTGCCTCAAAACATGAAAAATTCTATTGGGACGGTATCCACAAATTACCTGAAAAATGAGGGAAATGTGTAGCTAGCGATGGACATTACTTTGAATAAAGAACTTTTGATGTTTCTCTTGAAATTATTGTGTTTTCTTTGATTACAAAATCCGCATTATTAACTGGTACACCTGGTAAACCAAAAAATGCAAACAACAAACACCCTGAAAAAGAGGACAGAATCTATAGAGACAGATCTTATATACAGAAAGTAAGGTTAAGGAATTGAATGAATAGGGGAAGGACCACAGTTCAATATAGAGGAGGTCGAAAGAGGATGAGTGGATAAGAGGGGAAAAAAATCAATAAATAAAATGTTTTTTAATTTATCTATCTATTTATTCATCTATTTTTGGAAAAGTAGAATAGAGTGTAGATAGGCTTGAGTTTAGTCAGTGAAACTAATTAAATGATTAGAAGAGAGCAAGAGCAGAGAGGAAAAACAAAAGCACAAAAAATGGCTAGTGAAGAAAGAGAATAGAGAAGGGTGCATGGACTTGGAGCAGGGGAGAGGCAATTAAATATATGAGTAAGCCAACAGGCTACAGTAATAACACATCAATAAAGTAGATAAAGAACATCAATTTTTAACAAGGTGTAAAAAGAGAGTGAAAAACTAAAGTGGGGACAGGAGAAGAGAAACAGATGAAAAAGGGAGAATTGGGGGTGTAAAGGGTGGGAAAAAAGATAAAATAAGATAAAATAAAATAATGATAAATACTAAAAATAGAATGAAGAAATATACAAAAATAAAAGATAAAAAGAACACAAAAACAAACAATTTTAAATAGAGGATAAAAAATAAAAAAGTGAAGTGTTGTTCTCTTCAGCTGAGTTTTAATGCCCCATGGGGGCTGGTTTACCATCCCACTCTACTGTTCTGTCTGCCACTTCTCAGTTTCCTGTTATGTATTCAGCACCCTGTTGAAGTTCTAAGCGATCCACCACTCCTCTGTGTTTGTCTCCACAGCATTGGTTGCAAGCAGGCGGGACCAATCTGCCTGCTTTTCCTGTCTTCCTATTGTCAGTCTTAATCATTCAAGTGTCTGTGTCTGACAAGGGCTTTAGGTGGGGGTGTTGCTGTATTGGTTTCCTGACGAACAGCCCCTCAACCCATTCCCGAAGGTTCCTTGGAGCGATTCAGAGACTTTATTTCCTCAGCAAAGCTCGAGGCTGGGTGTGGCTGCACTAGCTGCCCTGAGGTGGCTGGGAGGGGCTGACTCTTCAGGAGAAAAATGGCTGCTTAGGTTTAGAAGGTCTGGAATGTCTCAGTGCCATATTCCAGTTCACCTCTCCCTGTCCTGCTCTCCTCCACAGCCTCTTCCCAGCCTCAACAAAACTGCACTTCTACCTCCACCGCAGCCTCGGTGAGTGTTTGTAATTGAAAGGTCCTATGAATTGAGTTTAGCGAATAAAAGCAAAGGCAAAACAGAAGCAAAACAGCTGTACCACTGTGAGTTTCTTCCCCCCCTGCCCCCCACCCCCTGGCACTGCACAGCTTGGGCAGCTCTTCTGGCTGCCTTTCTGGGCGCAGCCACTCATGGCTGTGAACTTAGATCTAGATTCCCTGGCTGCCAGAAGCCCTGTGGACCTCCCTTCCACAGTCAGGTGTTAGGCATGTCCCCAAGGGACACGTACTTGGTGCAGCACATCTTCCTTCTGACCCTGTCATCCTGATGGTCACGCGTGTCTCTCTCTCTCTCTCTCTCTCTCTCTCTCTCTCTCTCTCTCTCCAGCCCAGATCCCTGATCCTACTGTTCTCCAGCCATCTTCATCCCTTTCAGGCTGTGGATTGTCTCACCAGCTGTGTCTAATTCGCCAATTCTGGGTAGATGTTATTCAATTTAGTTGTTCCCTCTATGTGCTCCGTGAGAAGGTGTAGAACATGTCTGCCTATTCGGCCACCATTTTTCGTCTGTCTCATCATTTTTTATGGTTTCTATGTCTTTTTCATGCTATTGAGCATCATTATAACAATTACTTAGAACTCTATATCTGATAAATTGCTTGTCTTCATTTCATTTAGCTCTTTTTCTAGAAATTTCTTTTGTTCTTTCATGTGGGGCCTGTTTCTTTGTCTCCCCATTTTGGATAACTCTTTGTGTTTATTTCTATGAATTAGATATGTCTGCTATGACTCCCAGTCTTTGTGGGATGGCCTTATGTAGTAGGTGTCTTGTGGGTTCTAGTAGTGCACTCTAATTGATCACCTGAGCTGGGTGTGGGTTATGTAGGCCCCCCTGTTGTAATTGATTCTTGATTCCTATTGGCCCATGCATTTGTGAGATCGACCCTCAGCCTGGCTTAGTATGAGGCTAAACCCAGACCGTGGCTTACGAGCTGCTGTGCAGGTGCTAACCACACAAAACAGAATTTGCCTCAGCAGTTTTTTGTGCCTGTCAATATCTCCCTTTGGATATGCTGCTTGTGAAGCTTATTGGATCCTGCTCTGTTGTTGTCTGAAGCTAGCCACTGGGTGTGTTGGTTCTGGGCCTCTTGGGAGGGACTCTGGTGCAGGCCAATATAAGACGCTGGCTATGTCTAGCCCTCGGCAACCATTCTTGATGTGGCTTCTGTAAATCCTTGATTATTAGACTTCTCCAGCTAGTGTTCAGTTGGTTATTCAGGATGATTATTGTATAATTTAGTTCATTTTTGGTTTGTTTGCGTGTGGTTACCATTAGGTTTATGCAAAATAAATTTTATATATACAGTAGCACATTTTCTTGTGAATACATCTTATCTCCATTCCCCTTTGCAAATTCAGACATCCCCCTCCTTTTATATTTTTGTTGTCACAAATTATTCCTGTTTATGCTGTGAGTTCATTTTCAAATTGTAGTAGATATTGCCTTTTCTTTTTAATGTTTTTTTTTTTACTTCCTTGCACCTTTATGTTATATTTAAGTGTTCTGAAAGAGGGTTACAACAGTCTGTTTCTGTCTGTCTGTTAGTCATCTTACTCATAGTTTTGTATCCTTTTGTCTTTTTGTTTAAGGCATAAGTATTTATGAGTATTTTCTTTTTTTTTTTAGAGATAACGTGAGTTTAATCCTTTTGTCTTTTTGTTTAAGGCATAAGTATTTATGAGTATTTTTTTTTTTTTTTTAGAGATAACGTGAGTTTAGTTTTATTTTTTTTATTGCTTAAAGTATTACAAAGGGTATTACATATGTGTCCTTTTTTTTCCCCCGCCCTTGACAATCCCCTGCCCTTCCTTACCCCCCAGTGTCTTATGTCCATTGGTTTTGCTTATATGCATGCATACAAGTCCTTCGGTTGATCTCTTACTCCCCTCCCTTCTGCCCCCCAACCCTCTCTGGCCTTCCCACTGCAGTTTGACAATCAGTTTGAGGCAGCTCTGCCTCTGTATCTATTATTGTTCAAAAGTTTGTAATGGTCTCTATTATCCATGAATGAGTGAGATCATGTGGTATTTTTCCTTCATTGACTGGCTTATTTCACTTAGCATAATGCTCTCCAGTTCCATCCATGCTGTTGCAAATGGTAAGAGTTCCTTCTTTTTTACAGCAGCATAGTATTCCATCGTGTAGATGTACCACAGTTTTCTAATCCATTCATCTACTGATGGGCACTTAGGCTGTTTCCAGATCTTAGCTATGGTGAATTGTGCTGCTATGAACATATGGGTGCACATATCCTTTCTGATTGGTGTTTCTGGTTTCTTGGGATATATTCCTAGAAGTGGGATCACAGGGTCAAATGGGAGTTCCATTTCCAGTTTTTTGAGGAAACTCCATACTGTCTTCCATAGTGGCTGCACCAGTCTGCATTCCCACCAGCAGTGCACAAGTGTTCCTTTTTCTCCACATCCTCTCCAGCACTTGTCGTTTGTTGATTTGTTGATGATAGCCATTCTGACAGGTGTGAGATGGTACCTCATTGTTGTTTTGATTTGCATCTCTCGGATGATTAGTGACTTTGAGCATGTTTTCATATGTCTCTTGGCTTTCTGAATGTCCTCTTTTGAAAGGTGTCTATTTAGATCCTTTGCCCATTTTTTGATTGGATTGTTTATCTTCTTTTTGTTAAGTTGTATGAGTTCCCTATAAATTTTGGAGATTAGGCCCTTATCAGATATGACGTTGGCAAATATGTTTTCCCACGCAGTGGGTTTTCTTGTTGTTTTGTTGATGGTTTCTTTTGCTGTGCAGAAGCTTTTTATTTTGATGTAGTCCCATTTGTTCATTTTCTCTTTAGTTTCAACTGCCCTAGGAGCTGTATCAGTGAAGAAATTGCTTTGGCATATGTCTGAGATTTTGTTGCCTTTGGATTCTTCTAGAATTTTTATGGTTTCCTGTCGTACATTTAAGTCCTTTATCCATTTTGAGTTTATTCTTGTGTATGGTGTAAGTTGGTGGTCTAGTTTCATTTTCTTGCATATATCTGTCCAATTTTCCCAACACCATTTATTGAAGAGACTATCTTGGCTCCATTGTATGTTCTTGCCTCCTTTGTCAAATATTAATTGAGCATATTGGTTCGGGCTAATTTCTGGACTCTCTATTCTATTCCACTGATCTATATGTCTGTTCTTGTGCCAGTACCAGGCAGTTTTGAGAACAGTGGCTTTGTAATACAGCTTGATATCTGGCATTGAGATCCCACCTACTTTGTTCTTTCTCAGGATCGCTGCAGCTATTCGGGGTCTTTTTTTATTCCAGATGAATTTTTGGAGAGTTCGTTCTAGATCTTTGAAGTAGGCCATTGGTATTTTAATGGGAAGTGCGTTGAATTTATAGATTGCTTTGGGTAGTATGGACATTTTAATGATGTTGATTCTACCAATCCAAGAACATGGTATGTTCTTCCATCTCTTTATGTCTTCCTCTATCTCTTTTTTCAACGTCCTGTAGTTTTCTGAGTAGAGGTCTTTTACCTCTTTAGTTAAGTTTATTCCTAGGTAGCTTAATTTTTTTGGTGCGATGGTAAATGGGATTGTTTTTATAATCTCTCTTTCTGAAAGTTCACTATTGGTGTATAGAAATGCCTCAGATTTCTTGGCATTAATTTTGTATCCTGCTACTTTGCCAAATTCATGTATTAAGTCTAGTAGTTTTTTGATGGAGTCTCTAGGGTTTTGTATGTATAATATCATGTCGTCTGCAAATAAGGACAGTTTTACTTCCTCTTTTCCAATTTGGATGCCTTTTATTTCTTCTTCTTGTCTAATTGCAATGGCTAATACTTCCAGTACTATGTTGAACAGGAGTGGTGAGAGTGGGCATCCCTGTCTTGTTCCTGTTCTTAGGGGAAATGGTGTTAGTTTTTGTCCATTGAGTATGATGTTGGCTGTGGGCCTGTCATATATGGCTTTTATTATGTTGAGGTATGATCCTTCTATTCCCACCTTGCTGAGAGTTTTTATCAAAAATGGGTGTTGGATTTTGTCAAATGCTTTTTCTGCATCAATTGATATGACCATGTGGTTTTTTTCTTTCAATTTGTTTATGTGATGTATTACGTTTATTGATTTACGGATGTTGTACCATCCTTGCATTCCTGGGATAAATCCTACTTGGTCATGGTGTATGATCTTTCTGATGTACTGCTGGATCCGATTTGCTAAGATTTTGTTGAGTATTTTGGCATCTATGTTCATGAGGGATATTGGCCTGTAATTCTCTTTCATTGTGTTGTCTTTACCTGGTTTTGGTATTAGGGTGATGCTGGCTTCATAGAATGAGCTTGGAAGTGTTCCTTCCTCTTGAATTTTTTGTAGTAGTCTGAGGAGGATAGGTTTTAGTTCTTCCTTGAATGTTTGGTAAAACTCCCCTGTGAAGCCGTCTGGTCCTGGGCTTTTGTTTGCTGGAAGCTTTTTGATGACTGCTTCAATTTCTTCCATAGTTATTGGCCTATTGAGATTTTTAGATTCTTCCTGATTGAGTGCTGGAATGTTGTATTTTTCTAGGAATTTGTCCATTTCCTCCAGGTTGTCTAGTTTGTTGGAGTAGAGCTGTCCATAGTATTTTTTAACAATCATTTGAATTTCTGTGGGGTCTGTTGTTATTTCGCTTCTATTGTTTCTGATTTTGTTTATTTGAGTCCTCTCTCTTTGCTTCTTGGTGAGTCTGGCTAGAGGTTTGTCAATCTTGTTTATCCTTTCAAAGAACCAGCTCTTGGTTTCATTGATTTTCTGTATGAGTATTTTCTGTAATGGAGGTCTTGCGGTGGTAAATTCCTTCAGCTTCTGTATGTCTGAAAAAGTCTTTATTTATCCTTCATATCTAAATGATATATTATTCTTGGCTTGTAATTTCTCTCTTTCAATAGTTTGAATATTTGATTCCACTATCTCCTAGCTTGTAGAGTTTCTGCTGAAAAATTTGATGATGATCTAATGGGATATTTTTAATATGTTACTGTCTTCTGTTCCCAGATTGCTTTGAGAATTCTTTTTCTGTCATTAATTTTTGACAGTTTTAATATAATGTGCCTTGGAGGAGGTCTTTTAGGATTGAGATAATTGGGTAATCTGTTTGCTTCTTGGATTTGAGGATCCAGTTCTTTCCATAGGTTTAGGAAGTTTTCATCAATGATTTCTTTCAATAGGCTCTCTTTTCCCTTCACCCTCTCTTTTCATTCTAGAATACCCATTATTCTTTTGTAAAAATTTTCCTTTTAAATTGATTGGGGTGACATTGGTCAACATGAATATATAGGTTTCATGTATGGATTTCTATGTTACAAGATCTGTATATTGCAGTGTGTGCCCACCACCCAAAGTCAAATCTCCTGTCACCTCATATTAGATCTCCCTTCTTCCCCCACCCCCTTCCCTCTGGCAACCACCACTCTGCTGTTTGTGTTCATAAGTTATAGTTTTATATCCCACATATGAGTGAAGTCATATGGTTCTTAGCTTTTTCTGTCTGACTTATTTCACTTAGCATAATGTTCTCAAGGTCCATCCATGTTGTCACAAATGGCACTATTTCATCCTTCTTATGGTGAGTACTATTCCATTGTGTATATGCACCACGTCTTCTTTATCCAATCCTCTATTGCAGGACACTTTGGTTGTCTCCATGTCTTGGCCACCGTGATGCATATGAATATAGGGGTGCATATATCTTTTGAATACATGATTTTGAGTTGTTCGGGTATATAACCAGGAGAGGGTTTGCTGGGTCGTATGGTAGCTCTACTCTTAATTTTTTGAGGAATCACCCATTATGGATGTACCAGTCTACATTACCACCAGCAGCGAATGAGGGTTCCCTTTTTTTTCCACAACCTCTCCAACACTTGTTACTGCTTGTCTTGTTGATAATGGCCACTCTAGCAGGTGGTATCTCATTGTAGTTTTGATTTGCATTGCAAGTCAGATAGTTGTCATAGAGTTATTTCGTGTTTTTTTTAAACAACTCTCAAGTCTCTCTCTTTTCCCCTCTGCATTGTTTTTAGATTTCTATCTTCAATATCACTAATTCTTTCCCCCATCTGGTTAGGTTTACTTCCTAAGCTCACTAGTTTATTCCTCATTTCTTTTATTTAGTTCTTCATCTCCAGAATTTCTATTTGGTTCATTGTTAAGTTTTCCGTCTTTTTGGTAAAGTACTCCTTTTGTTCATTGCATTTTATTTCTGAATTCATTAAACTATTTGTGTTTTCTTGTAAGTCATTGAGTTCAGAACTGCACTCTTCAATTCTCTATCATGTTAATCACATATTTCCATGTCTTTAAGTTTATTTTCTGGAGATTTTAAACATTTTTTTCTTTCTGAGCTGCCTCATTGCCTTGCTTAATCATGGAATTTGATGGATTATTTCTCTGCTAGGCATATATGAAAATGAAATCTCTCTCTCTTTTTTAATTTAAAGAGTGGCATCTCTATTTAGTAGGTTGATAGGAAGTCTTTCTTTTGTTTTCCAGTAGGTGGCTCTGAAGTGCAAGTTTCTTAGTTTCTCTTGCACTGCTCTAGCTCTTGGATCCTTGCAGAGAGTGGAAAATACCTTGTATTCCCTGGGGAGGTGGGTGTCTCCTCTGTGATCAGGTCACTGTAGTCTCAGGGCACCACTCCTGTGGGGGAATGTTGTGGGCAATGGGTTTCTGAGCCTGTGAAATCCCAGCACTGTCCCCTGCAACCACTCTTCCAGCAGTGCAGCCACAATGGGTACAAGTGGGATGAGCTGGGAGAGGCCAGCTGGTTTATTTGTGGCTTTGTTCTCCTCTTAGTAATGGCAATTGCAAGACCTCAGCTTCTTCACCCCTGTCACTCAGATTTACAGTTTACACACACACACACACACACACACGCACGCGCACAGAAAAATATTTCTGCCTCTCCAGTTCTCAGGGCTGCAGATAATGTGCTCTGTAGCCCGACACTGACTTTACCACTTCTTCTGGGGCCTGCTGCTTGCTCTGGGAGGGTTAAGGTAGGGGAGCTGTGGGAAGGTAAGGGGAGGGAGCCAGACTCTATGGCTTTGTTTTTGTGCCTGGAAATGGCAGCCGCCAGACAACTGCGGCCTTACCTCTGTCTCTGCCCAGGTCACTGGGTTCATCCACAGTGCCTACTGCCCACCTCTGCAGGAATGCTCACAGTATTTCTCTGCTCATCTGGGCTGAAGAAAGTGCCAGTGGCCACCTGACTCCTCCCCTCTCCCAAGACCCACAGCAAGCTCCCAGCTACATCTAGGGCTCCTGTCTCTGCTCTTCTTCCTTCCCTCCTCCCATGCTCACTCCAACTCACCCACCCTCAGATGTTTTAATGCACAGATCTCTCAGATGTGTTTATGTCTAGAATAGGGAATCCTTTGTTCAATTATAGCTGTTCAAATAGTAAGTATAAGGGGAACCTCTCACACTACCATTTCTCTGATGTCACTCTCTGAGTTTGCTGTTATAGAAATCCTATTTCTTTAACACATTAAAAGTCTTGAAAATTCAGTTTACTTATTTTCTGGAAATTTTAGGAATATCCTGTTTATTTAAACACTTATTTCTATAAATCAATAAGAATTGAGCTCCATTAATTTAAGAAAATATTAGGAAATTATTACACACAATAGCCTCTCCGAATTCCAGATATCATCATCATTATTATTATTCAGGCTATTGCCATAAGGAGAATGTTCATTAATGAGAAACATCTCAAAGAAAAGGAAAGGACCCAAGAGTTTTATAGAGGCCTGTAAACTAGGAAGTCATCCATGAGTCTTATAGAAGTCATGAGGAAGCATAAAGATGGTTCTTCCTATGGAATATGCGATTTTTAGATTTCTAGAAGGCTCATAAAAGTTTAATACTGTAATGAGATGACTCTGCTTTGTCAATTTTGTCTATAGAATTTCTCTGTTCTTTATATGCCATATTACTTCTGCTAGCCTTTTTTGTTTTGTTTTGTTTTTCTGTGCTTATGACTTATCTCCATAATTTAATTGTAGGTTCTCTGAGGGAAGGAAGTATGTCTTGTATTGTTTTCTGTTTCTCCTCCTCTTCATCTCCCTCCTCTTTTTGCCTAACACTTAATATTCCATTCCACCTACCCAAAAGTTATTCATGTTCTGCAGGAAGACAAATTATTTCTTTTTTGATGTGCTAAGACATTAGACTTATAAGATATAAGTTTTCAGAATTGGAAAATAGCATCCAAGAACTTTCAAAGTCACATACTAGTAGTTAACTCTTATTTACCAAAAATTCACAGATGAACAAATATTTTTCTCTAATTGGTTTCTTCCTGGTTTCACATATATGGCCAAGCTATTATTTTGGTAGATGACCACTGAGTTCATCTTTATGTGCAAAATAAATGACTAATGATATTTTTAACAACCTCCTGCTCACCAATATACCTGTCTCATTGATTCAGCCTCTGAACCACAGCATTGTTCAAAATATGAAACATTATACTAGAAGAGATTTCATGAAGTTTATGCATTGTGTAGGCATTGGAAAGATCTTGCAATCTCATAATAATAAAGATTCCATTTTTAATGATGCTCACGCCTAGAATTTCATTTCAAGTAAAATATACGAGAAATTAGGAAAAAAGGGGGCTGGATATTTGAAGCCACTGGAAGCAAAATAAACTGAAGCATTTAGTACAAGGCCCTGAAAATAAATTATAATAAACTTTTGATAATAAAAAATGTTCTTTTATATCTACTCAAAAAGGCTTAATGGAAGCATAATAAAAGAGTAGATTAATGTTTACAAGAGGGTAAAGTAACACAGTATCACAAATAGCAAAAACATTAAAAGACGCCAGTATTGTAAATGAAGACAATTTTAGTGAAGGACACAAAATAACTTTAGAAGAGGCTGCTTCAGTCTGCATTGTAATAATTACATTTACAGAAAGGTAACCACATTATGCTGCCCAGGAGATTATACACTTATACATTCTACACTTCACTTTTATGATCAACAAGTGCCAAACCTTACTAAAAAAACCCAAAACTTTAGGTTATGTCATAGGGTCAGTACAGAGAATCCATTCTCCAACATCTTCTACATCTGGCTGAGCAAGATTGTCTTTAAGGCCCCCTCTAGATTCTAGCTTTCTTAAAGTCCTGTAAGTGATAATCAGTGTTCATTATGATGACTCCATGGTACTACAATTTTTTAATGATCATTGAATAATTGGAGAAGGGTTCTGTTTTGTTGAATATAGTTATAACATTCTAATTCTTTGAAAATCTGGGATTCGAAATGTAAAATGTTACCAATCAACCTGAATATTTAGTTTACCCAAAACACTTAATTCCTTGATCATTCTGAGGCATTTATGTACAATCTTTGTAGGTAGATTTTTGTTTTTCTAAAAAGAAGGGGGAATTGTAAGGGAATAGAGCTCAGGGGTTAGATCCTTGGCATTAAAGACTTTCTTGGATTGCTTTTGGCTGTTGGCTATAGCAATTTATTTTCTTGCAGAGATGAAGCATCTGGTTTTTGTTATCTCAATGATGTTGTCCTGGGAATATTACGATTGCGACGGAAATTTGACCGTGTTCTCTATGTGGATTTGGATCTGCACCATGGAGATGGTAAGCCCTTCACTTTCAAGGGTGCTTTGCTGCTAGGACAACAGGTTTTTATCAGTAAAGCTGCTTCCAAGCGGCTGGTAAAAGGAGAAATGCCTGTTGCAATTGAAAGTTTCCTAATTGAGAATACTAAAATAGGTAGAGATTCTTCTAACTGGTTCAATTCCTCCTTTGCTGATGAAGCTGCTGCTTTCAAATCCCAGGTTCCTGTAATTTCTCCTCTCCTTTCCTCTCTTCCAGTAGCAAAGCTCTCCAATAGAGAATGATAAGAAGTGAGAATCTTACCTAGTGTTTACTCCAGTGTGCAGTAACCTCCTTTAGTGTTCTTAGTGAAATCTGCAGCTAGAGCTGACAGTCTTGACACTTCTCTCAAGGTCAGAATGGGTACAGGATGAAATATCATTGTGAATTTTTCACCAATAGGGATACCAACTTACATAACAGTCAAAATCTGTCCCACTGTTTTTGTATTGCTAAAATATTTAGTCCTGTGCAAACAAACCTAAGGCATCTTCTGTAACTTTTAATAGCATCAGAATTATTAACAATTTGCCTTAACTTCATTAATTTCTTCTTAGAAGACTTCACTGAAAGGATGCATCCAGCCCTCCTCTGAACTTCCCATCTACAATGTGGAGCTTCAGTGACAGTTACCCACATTCTGTTTCTTTAACAAATCCTGTGGGTGGCACATATTTCCATTGATCTAGGAACACTTACCCAGTAAAATCAGTTAAAGGTGTTCCCTCCCCTCTCCCACATCAAGAATTGCTACTTCCTGGCTGGGGAGTGTTGGGGGAGGGGGGATAAGAGATCAATCAAAGGACTTATATGCATGCATATAAGCATAACCAATGGACACAAGACACTGTTGGGGAGGGGTAAGGGCATGTGCCAGGGGGTAGGGGAGGCCAGGGGAAGGTCAATGGGGAAAAAAGGAGACATATGTACTACTATTTGTAATACTTTAAACAAGAAAATAAAATTTTTTAAAAAAGAATTGCTACTTACCTGTTTCTAGGGATTTTATGAGACAAACTAACATAATTAAGACAAGAGAGGGAAAAATAATATATGACAGAGACTAGGGTCAACTTTGCTGCCAAAATAGATAAAGAAGGAAGAAAATTGTCAGGGGAAACTCCCCAGGGAATTCACCTAAATGGATGCTACCATGAGATGATGACAGAAAATTAAAGGTAACTGAGAGAAGGGTTAAAACAATCAGGGTACTACTTTGAGAGCAATGTCTACTGAATATCTGAACACTCAGCCAATGCAAAACACAGCCTTGCTAAAAAACCTTCAGAGGCTCCTTATCACCTATAACAAGGGTAACATTTGGCCCATGGATTGTTTTTGTTTGACCAGCAAGCTAAGAATGATTTTTTTTATATATTTTTACAAAGTTGTTAAGGGGAGGGAGGGAAATGCAATAGAGACCATGTAGTTTGGAAAGCCTAAAATATTTACCATGTAGCCACTTGGTTTACTAACCCTTGGCCTATAGCAATGGTTCTCAAACTCAAATGTATATCAAGATGACCTGGGGGAAGCTTGTGTTAAAATGCAGACTCCTGGACCATATCCACCAAATATTTAGATTTAATAGGCCTGGTATAGAATCTGGGAATCCAGATTTTAACAACACCCCAGTTCTTCCACAGGCCACACTTTGAAAAACAGTGGTCTTCATGGTTAAGTCCACACTCTTTACCCTGTCTTTTGAGGCCTGCCTCAAAGAGGGCTCACCTCTTCTGTCCAGCCTTCTCTCTCACAAGTTGTGCAGGCTTCTCTACTCAATGATCACCAAACATCTCACTGTGCCCGCCTCCCTGATTTGGCATCACTTTTTCTAACTTAGTTTTGTTTTCTCCTCCCCTTTTGCATCTCCAAGTTCTACCTAGAAGTTCAAGTTCCAAGAGTATCAGATTTGCCTTGAACACTCCAGCTCAAGTGTTCTCTCCCCGACTCAACTGTATTGTTTATATTACTGATTTGATATTTAATTATATATTGTCTTATACTGTTAATTCTGTAAGCTGTCTATGTCTTCTCATGTAGAAACCTTTAGTTTATCCAAAACAGAGATTAAGTTGTTTACTTCTTTCTGTCCTAAACAATGGCTTGAACAAACAGAACTATGCATATGTTATAGTAGAGGTTCAGTAAAATATTTGTTGAATGAATGAATGATTATGAAATTCAAACTATTAGTATCAGAGTTTAAGAATAGCATAAACTCTGTTGAACCATGTAAGAATTACTGTCACCTGAAACCATTTTTTTCCATTTGCAGTGTTATTTCTACACCATTTAGAGTTTCCTGTTTTAGCCAACTTTTATGGTGTGTTTCATTTCAGTTTATTTCCCCTCTTCAGCACCTCCTTTCCAGTGACCCCTGCCCCACCTCCAAATTCTTACACATTCAGTTCATTTTAAATCTCCCATGATTCCATAACTAGCATTTTGTGGTGGCTTCACTAGTACTCGTACCTGTCCTTACTTTCTTTCTTCTACCTACCATTCTTCTTCACACCAAGCCCTATACCCTCCACCTAGCTGCCTGTGCGAAGTAGAATTTTCTAACAATTTCTAATGGCATTTTCTGTGAGAAGTAATACAAATAGGTACTAAGTATAAGAAAAGGTGCTCCAGACCCTAATACTCAGAAAAATGCAAATTAGAACAAGACCATTATTTCTGCCTAAGATTAAAAAGAATAATAACATCCAGTGCTAGTCAGAGTGTGAAAAATAGAAACTCTCTGACCCCATTGACAGAAGTGTAAATTGGTATCACCTTTCTGGATGGGTAAATAATTGGAATTTTCTGGAAATATAAATACTTATACTTCAATTTATAAGTTAAAATACTAATTTATTTTGTTTTGTTTTGTTTACTTAAAGCTTAGTGCCTGGAGCCTTTAACTGGTTTTAGCTGCTTCCCTAGGGCAAAACATAAGGCTTGGGAAATTCAAACATACTTGTGATATACAAATAAAGTTTCTTTTTTTTAAGGTCACTGTCAACCTCTAATGAAGACTGAATGCATTAAGTAAACACAGAGACAATTTCTTTATTTGAAGTATAAAAGAGTATAGGGCAAAAATTTGCTAATAATAGTCCTTCCATTTTACAGATGGATTATCTCACAATATGTGATTCAGGGAGGAAAGGTGTGGAGGTGGGCAGTATGTTTATCTGAATAAGTAGTGGCCTTTAAGAGTTGCATCTACTATCTCCCAGGCCTCTATTCATTTTCTTATTCTGTTTAAATGGAAAGGGGAGTCTCTTCCAGAAAAATTTCCCATCTATTTCCAAGCTTCTATTAAGGGACAAGGCCAGGGCTACTTTTAGTCTTCTATGTTTTAGCTACAAATATGTACTGTAAGTTACCTAGTACACACTTTGGGAGAACTGCATTTATAACCAAATCTGTATCATAGAGAGGCAGTTTACAATTGGGTTTTCACTCTATAATGCCTAATGTTTATACTGGTCACATTTTTTAAAAGATTGCTGCATTGTGCTTATTTTGTACTAAATCCTTAATAATTTAACCAGAACCACTGAAACATAACATAAAATTTCCATGATGGTCCCAGTTTCTCTATTCAGCTCAGTAGATAATGCCTCAAGTCTGGGCTCAAGCCCTTACCCACGTTAATATATATATATAATAGATCTCAGGGAGGAAGGGAGAGGGAGAGAGTAATAGAAACATGAATGATGAGAGGGACTCATTGATTGGCTGCCTCCTGCATGCCTCCCTCCTGACTGGGGATCAAGCTCACAACCCGGGCATGTGTCCTTGACTGGAATCAAACCTGGGACCTTTCAGTCTGCAAATCGACGCTCTATCCACTGAGCCAAACCAGCTAGGGCCCTCCCACTTTTTGAACAGGTTGTCAAAAAGAGTCTGGACATCCCATTGCTTGGAAAAGGGAAGTCCAGTTATAATTTACCATGAATTTGAAAATGAACCTCCTCCAGTAATGGCAGAGATCAAAGACCAGAGGGTTTTGTTATGTTATTCCTCAGCTTGTTAGCTTTATTATTGTTACCTTCTCATCTCTCTTCCTTCTCACAGCTGCTCTCTAGAGTTTCAGTTGTTGAAAACAAGAGTTGCATATTTGAAGTGATTCTTCTGTTTCTTACTCTGGTAGGTGTGGAAGATGCCTTCAGTTTCACCTCCAAAGTCATGACGGTGTCCCTGCACAAATTCTCCCCAGGATTTTTCCCAGGCAAGTGATCTTTGTGCTCAGTATTACATTTGGGGAATAATATATTACAGTTCTTTTATACATTTCTTATATCTTATATTTGGATATTTCAATGCTATTAATACCTTATTGGTGCAACTTTATGCAAAAATTTAAGACAAGTCATTTCAGGTGATAATGATAAGAGGAATGTGATGCTGTTTCTTTTCCAGCTGACTTTTCTGGACTGCCAATAGATAGCTCACTTATACTTAATGTACTATCAGATACTCTGTGTAACTCCCAACACCCTGATAATTACAGTGCTATATTAATATTATGTCACTCTTAGACATATGGAAAGTGAAGTACAGGAGTTAATCTTTTTTTCCCAGCCAGAATGAATCTAAGGTTTTCCCATTTTCTTTTTTTTTTAATTTTGTTTTATTGCTTAAAGTATTACAAAGAGTATTACATACGTCTCCTTTTTTCCCCCCTTGACCTTCCACCGGCCTCCCCTACCCCCCAGTGTCTTGTGTCCATTGGTTATGCTTATATGCATGCATACAAGTCCTTCGGTTGATCTCTTACCTCACCCCAACCCTCCCCTGCCTTCCCACTGTAGTTTGACAGTCTATTCGATGCTGCTCTGCCTCTGTATCTATTTTTGTTCATCCTATTAATAATAGACAACCATGGTAATTGACCGTACCTTCGCTACACCTCCCATTGGCTAATCAGTGAGATATGCAAATTAACTGCCAACAAAGATGGCAGTCAATTTGCATACGTAGGCACGAAGCGGCGGAGTGAAGACTGAAGGCGGCTCCAGCCAGAGCAGCAAAGGCTTGAAGGCGGCTATGGCCAGAGCAGCGAAGACTGAAGGCGGCTCCGGCCAGAGCGAAGGCCTGGGTCCTGGGTGCCGGAGGAAAACCGGTGCCGGCAGCCAGGGGAAGGGAAGGCCTATTGCACAAATATTTTCGTGCAACAGGCCTCTAGTCAGTTTATAATGGTCTTTATTATCCATAAATGAGTGAGATCATGTGGTATTTTTCTTTCATTGACTGGCTTATTTCACTTAGCATAATGCTCTCCAGTTCCATCCATACTGTTGCAAATGGTAAGAATTCCTTCTTTTTCACAGCAGCATAGTATTCCATTGTGTAGATGTACCACAGTTTTCTAATCCACTCATCTGCTGATGGGCACTTAGGCTGTTTCCAAATCTTAGCTATGGTAAATTGTGCTGCTATGAACATAGG